ACGCTATTTTTGCAGTAATTTAAAAGACATATAGAAAGTCCTAATTTAAAACCAAGTTTACTCTTTCAAATTAGAAGCTAGTATTTGACTGAGAAAAATCTTCATGAGTCTTGATCATTTACATGAAGAAACTGAAACACTGGTAGTCCAGGGTATTTTCTTCCCGCTGGATCAAGTTGAAATAAAGGTGAAATTGATACTAGTGAAAGTCACTCAGTACACAGTTAAGTTCCGCCTCCACAAACACAAGAGAGAAACATGTAAGTCACACCAAGGAAAACAACTTTAGTACATTATGTGCAAATTAAAAGTGTAGAAAATCTGGCTTCAACTATGCTATGGGGATTATAGTAGCAAAGCACAATGACCACCAAGATGATAAACTAAGGATTTTAACCTACCTTTCTCCTAGTTTATTTATTTTATTGGAATGAAATTAGATTTCTGAAAAAATGCAACTACAAGCTAGAACACAGTAAAACATGTCACCGCATGTTACACCACTCCAACATTCAAGTTTAACAGCTTTTCGAGTATCATACATGATGCTCTATCCACAAACAAGCCCATAGTTGAATAGGGAAGTATATCTACACAGCCTCCTCTATTCAGTTTGGAGGTAAGTAAGCACTGCCTAGAACACATTCAAGTTCTCACTCATAGCATTCCATCAGAATACAAAGAAAGGAGCAAGTAGCTTTCAACACTTATATTTATCTATTTGTATCCTTCCTTCCTTACTCACTGGCCATTTTTGTCCATATGTTCCAATTTCCATTTGCAATCTCAGGCTGTAAGTGCTGAATACTCACTTACAAGGAAAAAAGCAATCTTTATGTCAAATCAAAAATGTATTTTTCTTCTGCTCTTAGAAGTGAAACTGACTTACGGAAATTTTAAAGAAGTGTAGTTAACACCTCTATGATATTCAGGAGAGTGAAATTGCTCCTATGATGAAACACCACCCACAAACAAGAGAAAAGTATCAACAGAGGGAAATGGGGACTAAGCATGTTCATTGGTCACAGAATGCTGGCTGAATATTGGGAGAAAAAGTAAAAAAAAAAAAAACTGAGGGTGAGGGGAAAGAGTTGCTGCAACCTTGAATAGGAGCACTTTACACTGCAACATTTTGTTGCAAGTTCCACTTGTACAGAAATGCCATCAACATGATTTGCAGGTGATAACCCAAACAACTAATACCTTATTTCATATACTCTGAGGAGAAACCAGGCTGAACTAAATTAAACTAAACATTTGAAGCATATGCCTATAATTCACGTGCCCAACTAAGAAGGAGTTGTGAGAAATCTCAGAAATACCTTTCCTCACAGTACACTAAAAATCTGAAGAAGGAATGTGGTTTGCTCAGAAGCTAACACTGTCCAACATTCATACTGTACCGCAATGAATATAAAATCACATCTCCTTTTCTTAGGATGTGTTATACTAGATGCCAAGAGGGACATGAACTTAAATGCCATGGTAATGTTCCACCTGTCAATGCAGTATGTGATTAATTGGGATACTTATGAATATAAAAGAACAGTAAGCAAGTCATGCACCCAAGTGTTTACATGTTGACAGCTTAAATGGAACAATCTCTTAAGATTTCCTTCCATTAGATTACTTTCTATGTCTCATAAACAGGAGAGAGAGACATACTCGTAGGAAGATGCAAAGAGAATTCACAATAATTCTCGATAAGTCAATGGAAGGTAGCATCTCTTCCTACTTCATGAGCAAGACTTGAAACCACTTGATGCATCACTTGATGCAAGTGAGGTTTCCCTATTAAAAATAAGCAAGACATGAAAAATCTGTTTAAGAGAGAATCGGGGACCCTCTTTCAAAAGTACAGTCAACTTTTATATTGCCTGTTACATCTAGCCCTCTAAGTTTTAAGAACTCAACAAATTCAGACTTCTAGTGCTTGAATAATTTCCAGCAAAAAAGAAGAGTCTTGTATCATCATAAAAAGTAACGACTTTATTCTGACACAAGCTTTTGTTAAGCAGACAATATACAGGAAAGCCTTTGCTAGATTAGTTAGTCCTTAAGGTGCCACAATTCCTTTTAAATTGTTTGCATTTAAATAGCTTTCTTAATTCTACTCATCATGAAGATACTTAGGAAACACAATTAGAATGAAATTAGGGGAGGATACTGAAGGAAGTACTAAAAGACAGACCAGACTGAAGTTCAGGAACAGTAGTAGTACAATCCTACAGCCTCCTATTGGAAGAGGAAGTCCACATTTCCCTAGATAATGCCAGACAGTTACAAGTGATGAGCATTTCAGCTGAGGTAGATAGGTGGTTATGCAGAACTGGTACATAAAACAGCTACTATTATATTTCAAGAAATGTGGAAACAAGCCAAGGCAAAGAAAAAAGTAAAAACTTAATGGATGGGATCTATAGAGCCCTCTTTGAAGATTAGGAGAGTGGCTACCCTGAGAAGGGCCTTCTCTGTGGTGGCATCCCAGTTGTGCAACATGCTTCCCAGAGAGGTACACCTGGCGCTGACTCTTTATTCTTTTTGGCACTGGGCCAAACCTTTTTTACTTTCCCATTATTTTAAGGCTTAATTTCTATTTTAATTGGGTTTTTATTATAGATGCGATGCTGTACCTTTGTTGTTGGACTGTCCTGAGACTTCTATGTACAGAACAAGATATAAACGTTTAAAATAAATAAATAAATCTTACTAATCCAAGGAACACTCCTAGTATGCAACACTCTCCCACCAAACCTCCTCTCAGGGCAATGTCATTAACAGTTACATCAGCAGACAACTGTCTGTGAAATATTTCAGCAAAGCTTATTCACTGCAGCTGTCTTTTCACTGTACACCAAACAAATGTTCTGCTTCTCAGTTATGTCAGGCTTGATGAAACTAAATGCTAAGGCATTTAGAAGATTTGACCCTACTAGGTGTGCTAAAACTATGATACCCAGTTCACAGTATGCACAAAATGGTGAATGATGCTAGCATTCACTGTTTCACTCAACAACAATAACCTAAGATTTGCATTAACCCTCCTGCCATATGCAATGCCTAGTAAGATATTAATTCAATATCCAAGAATCAAATTATGTTTTGAAAACTGGTGAATGAGGGAACTCAAATCCTTCCTGGAAAATTAATAATTTAAAATTGCATGCCACTCCAATAATGTATATAGCAAGAGTTCCAACATTATCACTACAAATAAGCGTGTGTTGGTTCTTCAAGTTTTAGCCCCTAACATTAATAATGATGTAAGGTTTTGTTTCTAACAATTGCTCAACTTGACACATCTTTGCCATCAGAACATTATAAAGCTGCAACACCAGCTTATAATGGGCTACTTTCTTCCCCATCTAGAAATTTCAATTTTTGAACCTCATATGCAGATAGATTATTAATGAAAAATAATATGTTGCCTTACAATGAAATGTGTGAAAGTTATTAGAATTAGCTTTTAACTAGTGAAAATATACCTAGTTCAAGTTACTATGCAAGTTCCTCAACAGTCAATCAAAAATGCAGAGAGACTGGATAAGTGCTAATTATTTATCAAGTCTTGTTGTTTAAAACATCTCAAAAAGCAGTTCTACTCTTAGGTTGCAGTCCTATGCACATTTAGACAGGAAAAAAGGGCTACAGCTTGTAGCATCCTTCCAGCCAGATATGCTGTGAACTGAAGGGACTTTTTACTATCTAAATATCTATCAGATGCACTCTTAAAGGAGGCTGTAACATGTTAATTTTTGCAACTTCTCAAAATAATTTTTATCCTATTCTAACAAACCAGTACACAGACTTTTGCATCATTCTGCCTTTGAAAAATCTGCTATATTTTCCAACTAGAAAATTCTTATTTAATCAAACAGAGGTTAACAAGAGAACTTTGCCTTTAAAGAAGCAGCATGTAACAGTGGAGCAAACATGGGATTCTACCATGTCGCATAATCTTGTACCGAACCCATCTTAATTCCCTAGCCACATGGCAGTATTCTGCTATGAAAAGAGATTAGTCCAGTCCAAAAGCTTAACATGTTTAAAAATGGATTGCCAAACCAGGACACAACTGAATTGAGAAGGAAAATCCCCCCAAAAATATTGTACTTGGAGATCAAGCATTGGAAGTCAGTGTGGTAAGGTGGACTGAGGACCTGAAAGATACAGGTTTATTTATTTATTTAAAACATTTCTATACTGCCCCCATCGCAACAAAGCCTCGGGGTGGCTCACAAAAAATGGTTCTAGTCCCCACTTAGCCATGAAGCTCACTAGGTGACTTTGGGCCAGTCACTCACTCTCAACAAAACTAATTCACTGGATTCTTGTCCAATAGATAAAAAATGGATGGAGAAGAACTTTGTAAGCTACCCTGGCTTCCATGCAAGGGGGGGGGGCGCTATAAATGCAATGTAATGTTAATGTGATACTTAAAAGGTAGTCAACTTTTAGTCTTTTTAAACTTCTTTCTTAATTTAGGCTCCCTGTGTGTTCAGTAAGATAGGGACATCCCCTTTATACACATTCTGATATTCAAGGCAATTCTCTCCATTATATATTTTCCATAGAAATTAATGGCCCTACCATAATAAAAATTGGTGTAACATTTCCTTCTTCAACATGTATTTCTTTTTAATTTTAAAAGGATGTTCCATATCAATCCCACGATAATTAAGCAAGATATACTAGATTACCATTACACCACTCAGAAACCCGGCCAGTTTTAATGGGAGCACACAATGCAAGAAAAAAACCTCAGTAGAAATAATTGAGATCTCCATTCGCTCATGATGACCAGAAACAACTTATGTTAAATAATACTAAAGAGATTCCACCATACTTCCAATTCACCCTGTTTGGTTGAGTGCTCTACCTAGCATTAGTAGCTGTGGTTCTGGTTCAATTACGGAAGACAAGGCTAAAATCTTGTACATATGGCACACACAATACCTTTTTCAAAGGAGCATAAAGGAGCAGTAGGCTAAGTCACTTACCTCGTGAAGAATTCGGCGAAGCTAGAGCCAGCGATGATGCCTAGCCGTTTGGCCCGATCCCCATCCTCAGGGCAGGCGGTAGCTGCACTGGCGCTGTCGGTGGAGGCGAGGGTGGGCGGCTGTTGCGACTGCTGCGGCTGCAAATGTTCCGGGGCGCTGCGGCGGCGACTCACCTCGAAGGTATTGCGGGAATTGAGGTTGATGTCCATGAAAGCCAGGGAGGGCAGGCAAGGGAGCGCCCGCGCCGGCGAGGACAAGCTCCCTGCCTCCTCGGAAGCCGGCGAAGGGCTCCCCGAGGAGGAGGAGCAAGAGGGAGACGGTGACATGGCTGCAGATGTTGCGGCAGTCCCCGCTAGGCTGCAGCTTTTCAGCGGCTCCTCCAGAGCCACCCCGCTCTGGGAGCCCGTGAGGAAAAAGGCGCAGCCACCGTTGAGGAGCTTGTCCTCCCTGCGCCCCGAAGTCGCTGGCTCTTCGCAGCTCGGTGGCGGACCCTCCTGCGACGGCGGCAGCAACAGAAAGCCAGCGTCCCCGTTGGTCATCCTCCCTGCACCGCAGGCGTCTCCGTTGGGCGGCCTCTTGCCAGCCAAGTAGCGCTGCAGCCGGGCCCCGGAGCCCTCTCGGCTCCCATCCCGCTCTCCGTCCGCTTCCGCGTCGTCGTCGTCGTCGTCCTCCGCCGCCGCCGTCTCCGCCTCCTCCTCCTCCCGGCCCGAGGGAAGCAAGGCTGCGCCGCCCTGAGCTCCGGCATCCTCCGGCCCAACCATTTGCCGATGCAGTACCCCAGGGGAGCCAGCGGCGCGGTTGGGAGCGGGGAAGGGGGAGGCGGCGGACCGGCCCCTCACGGCGGCGCCGCGGCGGCACTAACGGAGGGGGAGAGGGCGGGGCGCCAGCTACTGCTGCGCCCGCCGCCGCCGCCACTCGTGCCGCCGCCTTCCTCAGCTTCTCCAGCCGGTACCGCTCAACACATAGGACCGTGCTGTCGCCGAGGGTGGCAGGAGCGGCCTAAGCGGGTCCGGCTCACGCAGGCGCTTACAACTCCATCCTCAATCACACCCATGACCTCCGACCATAGAGGCTATGTCATCGATGCGGAAGTGCGGCCTTGTAAACATCCGGAGCGGTGTAGATGCAGCCAGTCACACTCAAGTCAGACCGACGGAAGCATTTCGTTTTACCGTATATTTTCTAAGAAGCCCGCCTCAGTGATACCATGACAATGTATTCCACTTAGTTCTCGGTGGCAATGCCTTGAACAACACGCGTTCCCGTATTCCAACTGAAAAACGGCTCTTTTAAAGAAAAAACGGTTGGCAAGATGCTGGCTAGCCGGCCCGCTTTTGAGAACACGATCCAGCCCTCAAACCCAATTGATTTCACTAGCAGACATCGCATGGGGTTCGATCCGTACTAAGGGAGTAGTTCTATTCATATTAGGCAGAAAAAAATCCTACAATTTTGACTTTTTCTGTAGAAATATACATAGGATTACATTCTAAAGTAGTTGAACTTAGTTCGCATTAACCTAATAGTGCAATTCTGTACGTGATGACTCACTGAATTCAATGGAAATTACTCCCAGGCAAGTTTATATAGGATTGCAGTCTAAAGTAGTGGAACTTAGTAACTACTGGAATCAACAGACTTAAATAATGACTAATTTGTCTGATTTATTGCAATGTTATCTAAGGCCACCTAATGTAGGCTGGATCAAACCTGCAGTATTTAAGCACGTGTACAAATAACTCCCATGAAATCAAAGTTCTTTGACTTGGTCTAGATATGCACAATACAAGAAGCTGAAGCAAGCAAGTGGACTGTACCATTTCAGAGAGCAGTGTGGGGGAGACTGTCTTTATTGCTCCCCATTTTTCAAGAAAGTGATTAAATACAAACCATCATAATGGAAAAGGTTCTAGTTCGAGCCTTCCACTGTTCTAATTTTTCCATCTGCAGAAAGAATTTTGCTAAGTTGTTGCAGCAAAAGCAACAGAGAGCCCCATGGCACTTTAAAGACGAACACATTTATTATGTCATAAATTTTATGGATTACAGTCCATTTTAACAGATTCATGAAGTGTTATTATGAGATTCAAAAGTATATGGACACAGACAATAGGGCATAGGAGAAAAACTGAAATGCTGAAAGTACAGATAGCAGTAATTACTGACTGATTTCAACTCTGAGCTATAATGCAACAAAAGGTTTAACTCCTGTGGCTTAAATAGGGACAAATTATTTTTTAAAAAATGATAGCATTATCAGATTATGTGTATAATGCAAGGATTGCTCAACAACTGCTAGTATTGCTCAACAACTGTGGGAATGGCCCAAGGCATCAATAGCACTGCTCCACCCAACCATGTATGTGTGTATATATACTCTCAGGATAGAATTTCATACAGCTGAAATGGTGGACTGAACTCCACAACAGCTTAACCATAATAAATATTTTTCTTTAAGATACCTCAAGACTTTGTTATTTTGATTGTGGTTTTCCATTTTGACACAGGGAGCATCCAATAAAAGTAAATTCACCTTAAAATTGGAAGTGGTATATCCATTCTACCACATCAGGCCTTTTATTGTTTTATTGTTATGTATAAGCTAGTCTTTATGCAGATCTATTTTCATGTGTGATGAATTTATCCCATGGAACAATTTACTCTTCTTCTGAGGAGTTCTGAATGACTGACATGTTATTTCCATATTTTCTCATATCCAGTCAATATTCAGGACCAGCCCTGATTAGCTTCAACAATACAAATGTATCTGGTGACTTCAGACTTCAAACCAGTTATACATCTGAGGGCTCGAAATTGTGACAAGAGACAAAGTAAATATAGGATGAAAGAGGAAACATAATAGGACAAAAGAGGAAAAGGAGAACTACTGGGGAATGGATATAGTGTGATCATTATAGCAATATAGCAAGATGTTAGCAATATTTCTGTATCTTTTTCTTCTTCTTTATCTGGCCATGTCTAGACTCATGTGGCTCTATATACTTTGCTGCAGCAGTTTTGAAACTCATGCCTGCCAGAAAGTTCCACCCCACATCCCAGATGCTTGGGGGAGGGGGAACTGTGGTATAGTCAGAGTAGAAGACATGCCCTTTATCCCATACTTTAAAACTGAGTTCTGACATTCAGTACATTGTTAGACCCTAACGGCCCTAGCATACTAGAAGCTTCACTTTATTTATGGCCATCGTGTTGTGGTGAGTCATAATTCTTCAATATGCTATTTCTTCTTCTCTGGTTTGATCCCTTGCATGTCCTGACAGGGCATGCAAAAGGTCTGCCTGAAGCCCTGAAGGGCCATTGTCAGTCAGTATTGACAGTATTGGGATAAATGGACCAATGGTCTGACACAGTATGTAGCAGTTTCCTATGTTGATGGCTACAATGGACAGAAAATATCATGTCAGTCAAACTGGTGACTATGGTGGCAGTATGGGCATAACAGACAGTATTTCAAAAACATATATGCTGCAACACTAGCACAACTGCATTTAAAATGGTGTCACTGTTTAATACTGAACCCATTGCCAAATCGCCACCTGAAGCAGGGTTTCTGCTCTAGTTTATATCAGGCCGGCCTTGGCTATGGTTCTGGTTCTGGTACTTAAAGGAGTCCGATACCAATGCAAGCTACTGGAAATATCTGTAGACAGATTTGGTAAATTTCAGAAAGATAGTATAGTATAGAAATATTTTTCAAAACTATTTTTAAAAAATATGTGAGGTACCCTGCTGTGTTCTATTATTGTACTTAATATGTGCCATTTATTTCTGTTTATAGGTACAGCAACAAGAGAGCAAAGCTACCTAGAACTAAATACTGCTATTGACAAAATTGCATGTAATATGCAGTCGGAATTCCTCAAACAAAAGCATTTCTCATTTATTCAACAGGAAACTGAATCCTACACAATTAATGACTGAAACAATCCTCCAGCTTAAACATTGGCATGTACGCTGAAAGCGCTGGGATATTTGATGAAGGTTAAAATGACCTGAAATAGGGAAAACCCCTTTGCCATGGGAACTTAACAATAGGATCCTTACATTATTCTGAAGAACACTGGTTTCAACTGAACCTACTCCCAGGAAAGTGTGCATTGGATAGCAGCCTTAAACTTTAGCGCACCCTTGATAAGATTGCTAAAGGAGAGGGCCTGTGTCCGTGCGTTCATGTAGGTGTGTGTGTGTGTGTGTGTGTGCATAAAGGGAGGGGAGGAAAACTGTCAGACAAATGCTTTGGAGAAAGGAATTATGAATTAAGACATCAAGCCAACTTAGTATTTCCCATGCACTTTTACACTTCAGCAAGTATCTTAACAGAGACAAACAAGTTTATCCTGTCCTAAACCAATCTCCTGTGACAAAGTCAATGTCAAACCCTTATTTGGTTTACACTTCATCTATGAACCTTTTTATCCTGCACTGGATCTTTTACTTTGTCATTTTGGATCTGCTTGGTTTTAATATTACAAAGTTCTATCTTTAGTGGTTTATAACTCAACCATAAAAGTGCATTCCAAGTGAAACTTGGCATGAAATATCTCCATCTGGAAGTTAAATATTTCACAGCATATTTGGATGGATCCAAGGTTGCTTTTTCCCTTCATTTATTCAAGAGTTAAATACTTTCCATTATTGTGCCCATTCTAATTCATCTCAACCCAGTTATGGATGTCTCTTTTGGGAATTTAGGGCAAACCAGTACAGCTTGCAAGGCAATATGCTGACCTGTCCCTATTTCAGAATTGAGTGTTTTCACTCATTTCAGGGTTGTTTTATAAAGCAGTAAATTCCTGCTGAGTTAGCAATGGATTGGCTGGCACAATAGAAAAAGTGCAGGAGCACAGCAGTATTTTTATTTCATTTATTATTACATTTATATTCCACCCTTTTCCCCTGTTACAAGGAAAGGCAGGTTACTTACCTATAACTGTCATTCTTTAAGTGGTCATCTGTGCATCCACACATATGGGCTTCTGCACCTGTGCAAAGACTAGACCAGGAAATAAACTTCAATAACTCAGCATGCCAGAGTAGGCAGGAGCACCTCCCTTCAGTTCCTGTGTATATAAAGGAAGGAGCTCCCACCCAGTCCCTCAGTTGCCTTCCAGATCGTTATTAGTCCCAGCCTGAAGGATCCGAAGGAATTAGAAGGGAAGGAAGGATGACCTGGCGCTGGCCCCTACCCAAAAGAAAAAGGGGGACAAGAGGGCCTGGTCAAAGGACAACAGCCAGCAGGGACTGAAGGTGGGTTGTGTGAATGCACAGATGATCACTTGAAGAATGACAGTTACAGGTAAGCAACCTGCCTTTCTTCTTTGTGGTCTCTGTGTTTCACACATATGGGCAACTTGTAGGCAGGTGGGGAGCTGTCATCACTGGAGAACTGATGAGAGGACTGCTCTGCCAAAGGCATAGTCCTGCCTCACATGGACATCTAGGTAGTAATGTCTCTCATGAAGATTGATGGCATGTGGCATCCCTGCAGATGTCATGGAGTGAGATGCCTTCCAAGAGGGTGATTGATGTCGCCTGGGTGCATGTGGAATGGAAACAGGGACAGGTCAGCATATTGCCTTGCAAGCTCTACTGATTTGCCCTATTTTGGAAACCAGAATCGAGTTGAGTTGGATACTGGCCATCTTGTAGGTGAGGCAGATGGTGCTGGAGACCCACTTGGAAAGCCTGTGATGAAACAGGGTCCCCTTTCTTTGGGCAACCATAGCAGACAGTTGGACCAGCATATCTCATCCATTCATGATTTAGACATTCGCTAGAGCACTGCGAATGTCAAGCAGGTGTAGCATGGCCTGGGGTGGAAGGGTTGGGGTAGGAAGGCTGGTAGGACTATGTCCTGGTTTATGTGGAAGGTGGAGGTGATCTTGGGTCTGAAAGCAGGGTCAATGTGTAGAACTGCCTTCTTCTCTCTGTGGAAGATGTGGTAGGGAGTGTCATCCCATAGCACAGAGAGCTCCCCGGTGTGGTGGGTTGATGTGACAGCAATGAGAAAAGCTGTCTTCCACAACACTAGATGTGGGTCAGCTGTTACCATGGG